GGTCAGTGTGGAGATCTCTTCATGGCCTGCAGTCATGACGTCCCCTTTTTCCCCTCCCATGCACTTTGTCTGAAATGGGAGTCCTGACTCAATACTGAATATTTGAAGAGGGGCTGTAACAGCACAGTTGTTGGACTCTAGCTGCCTAAAACAAAATGATATTATCATTAATGGGAAATGATATATCATATGACAAATAAAGAGTATCAGTTAGTGTATCTTAGATAATGCAATTGTATGGACATATTGTAAAATGCATTTTACAATATACCTAAATCTGTGAGACTGCAACGTTGCAATAAATTCTCTGTAATGTTTGTAATATGACATCACCGTGCCATGAACTCAGACAAAATCCTTTCTCGGTTTGTGTTTTCCAAATGTAAATAGGTATTTTTTCCAAGTTTCATTGGTATAGACAGATCTTGCTTTTGCTTTCAACAGTTTCATGTGCTTATGTATGAGAAATTACAGGATTAGTTTGTTCTCTAGATGAAAAATGAGTTAAATCAATATGCAGTTCCTTCTCACCCCCACATACTCTGTGTTTCACATTGAAATCATGTAGTTGGTGCACAGAGAGGCTTTGAACTATGACAAGAACAGAATAACAACTCATTTGTCATATGAGACAGCATTCTAAACAGCACACAAGTACTCTCAACTGTTTTACATTTTCCTCTCCCTTCTCTCTTGGACTAATTTACTGTATTTCTGCAGGAATGTAAAGTTTGTAGACATTGCCTTTCAGCTGTTCTGTTCAGTTTCTACTGTTGTTGACACTCATGGGTATGATAGCTGCACTAACTGTTTCATCCACTACAGAGTGAGTCTAGAAAAAATGCCTCACCTTCCCTTGCAATGAATGACAATTAACCAATAAAAACTTTGCTTTTTGTCAATACATTCAGTATCTGCCAGTTAAAATCTAGCTCTGAAATACAGATGCATTTGTGCACATTAGCATGAGCTGGACAGTTACTGTAATTAATAACAAATTTTGTGTTAAAAAAACACTGCACAAAAAAGTAATGCCTCCATAAATTCAACACTGAGAAATAAGGGGCTGATTGACTGAATCACCCCCTGCCCAAGACTGAAGTGCTTAAGTGCAAGTGCTGTTTATATGCTCTCAGTGCACAGCAAATAAGGACTGCTAACAGACTACTAACAGACACCTCATACAGCACTTTGTATTCTGTCGTGTCCAAATATTTCTTACATAGTACAGATTTAATAACAACAGGTGACAAGTACTGTAAAGTGCAAGTGAATGCATACCTGAGAGTCAGTATGTCTTGTCTCTTGGATTATTCTCTTGGCTATATGTATCGCTTGGAGCAGGATCAGAGAGACTGTGCTTGGTTTCCTCAGGGAAAGTACTCCCTGAAAAGGTGCTCAAAGCCTTCATTGTGGCTTATCTGCTCGATCCATTTTTCTGATTGAAGTTGTGACTTTCAAAACTTCTTTTGATCAGGCAATATGTCATTTCCTCCTTTAAGAATTTGGCTTCGTTCCCCGCTCATCTGTAGCGCTAAAGACTGGCCACAGCTGTTCACAAACCCGTAGTTAGAATTTGATTTGAAATCAAAGCATGCTGGGGGTCTAATGATAGCTACCCAGTTATTAATACTATCTGTGGTCCCAGGCTTTGACAGTCACCTTTCTGTGCTCTCAGTTTTATGTTCTTATCTTTGGGACTGTTGAATCTTCAGATGGAGATATGTTTAGCTGTAGGGTCCTTCTTTGCTTCACTTCACTCAAACATTACACCGTGGTTAATTCGTTCATGTCAAAAACCCAACTAGACAATAATTTTAGCTTTCTGCATGCTTTGTAGTTCTTTTTTCCCTTCCTTGGATGCTACTAGCCACTAAAGAAATGGTACTCTCTTTGTTTACCTTCTACAGCCTTGTACTGTCATTGGGTTGATTTCGTCCTTGTGACTTTCCTCTCCTGTCCCCTGGATTGGCAGGGTGTTTTGCCACTTTGCATTATGGCATTGGTGAATTTGTTCCTGGAAGGATGAGCAAGATGTTTGGAAAATATATTAATATTATTATTGCAGGGGAATGGGACCATCAATCTGTGCTGTCACCGACAGACTGAGGGAGTGTGTCTGTGCTGTATTTTGTGCAGTGCTGATAGTAGCTGCACTTCCAGCACCTCATAACTACTGCTGAAGTTGTATGCAGAAGTTCCTCCAATGTAGTTCAGAAACTAAACTAGGACACTGATATAATTAAGATAGATAGGGCTGAGGGGCGTTATTATTGCATGTGCTTTGAGAACGTGGGACCAAAGTACTAGAGAGTCATGCATTCATATGCTTTTCTCTTGCTAAATAATTCCACTTGCATACTGAAGGAAGGAGAGGAGTGGGGTAAGGGTAAGAGATCAGATTAAACGCAGATGACGAAAAGCATTACCAGAGAGCCACACAATTTTTCTTTAAATATTCTTTTGAAAATGTTCATTCAAAAACACCTTTGACGCTATTGAGGTTGTGAAGTTACGTGGCATCTGAAACAAATATTAGCTTTACATGTATATACGAGCCATTACAGAAGAGAACACAAGGATTCAGTAATTGCTTCATTCCAGGTTTTGTTTACTACAGTCAAATCTTTAGAATTTCTTTTCAACCCACCACAGATAATTTTAGGAAAAGTAGCCGTCTTTTAAGTATTGACCAGTCATTCATGTGGTGTTTGTACATGTGTTTGTGTGTGTCTGTATGTATACATCTGAAATGATCAGTCACGGTTTTTGTGCGCTATGTTTATGGGTGCAAATATACAGTATAAGAATTCACTGCTTGTCTTTTCAGATGTCCATTACAGTAGATTCACTTTTTGTCCTTTACCGTGTGGCATCATAACTTACAGCTCATAGCATCTCAGTTGAATGTGCAAAGGGTTTGTCAGTGCTGACAGCAAGCTTTTCTGTTCCTTATATATTGATAATTTCCTCCTCCCCGGAGGTCCCATTTGATGAAGCACCACAATACCAATCTATAATGAACACTCTGGCTATCCTTAGTCACTTTAAAGCCAATTAACTTTATTGATATAGTTCCTGATACCACACCAGGGTGCTTATTGTTAAATTCACTGCACAGTCCATGCCTGTGTTCCAGATGATGACTTTTTTTTTCTAAATTTGAAAAACAGATTCTTAGCTTTTTCATCATTTCTGTAATGCTCATTTACTTTTTTACAATTTTAAGTAGAACTTTTGTACACAACTGCCATATTTGCAAAAATCAATTTGTGCAATCCAATGTATACTGTAATTTATTCCAGATGTATGAGGTACACAGACTCAAAATGCCTACTAAGGCATTTTTAAGTCGTGTCCACAGGAACTAGCAGAATACAGAAAGCAAAAGACAAAAATTGAAAAACAAAAATTCTGAAATTCTCTGAAATTACTGTTTTCCTTGACTTGTGCTTTATGAATTCATACAATTGAAGTAAGCTAATGTTTTTTGTCATTGTATGTAATTTCTATTATTATAAGTAAAGGAAATTAAAATAATTACTTTCCTGACTGTTTTTAATCTTTCATGCTGTTGTCTTGTTGTTTTTGCTGCATGCTTCAGTGTACCTTCCAGATTTCTTTTTAATGCCCTCTAAATAGAATGTAGATTCCCAATGCAAATAGTTTCACTTCTGTGTTTAATGTAGCGTCTCTTCTCTCCTCCTAATTATAAGGGGCTATTCTGGGCAGTGCGGGATTAGTGTGCTTGAGGTCTCTGCAAGCCAATTAGGAATTCAGTCTCCAGCTTTTCTGCCGTCTAAGTTAAAGTTTTGTTTTTGTAACCGTGTCCCTGATTGTTTTGAGATGGTGATCTCAGCCTAAACGCACTCAAGGCATTGCTGGCGCCTGAGCGTTTCTCCCAATAAAGATTTTATGACACTTGCCAGGAAGAACGCTTTATCAGGAGTGGCAATGTTGTTGTTTCTGAGCACAGTTTGCTGTAGGAATGGATGGAAGTGGATGATATAGAGAGAGCTTTGTGGAGTGGTGGGACAGAGGGTCTCGCTGGTTTGGCAGCGGTGATATATGTCTTGCGGTTTGGCCGCGGTCGCTCCTCGTTTCCAGGAAGCGTTGGGAGTGGAGTGATTTACTGTGCATGGTTTAATGGTCATTCACTTTAGTGCCAGGGCTGGATAATGAGTCCACCATAATTAGCAGAGCTCCACTGCGCTACCCTAGTAAAAGGCCAGCTGGTGTGACTAATTATAAAGGTGTTCACCTTACCTTCGGAAGAATGAGATGCGCAAGTCTGCATCTTGCTTTATGTCAATGCAGGAGAAGACTGCTTAGGGGTTCATCCAGTGGCACCAATCTGTTGGACCTACGTCTGAGCCAGCAGATACTGAGCCAGCAGTAACTTGGCCATAAATCACCACGAAACACAATGTGTTTTTTTCCCCACACAAATGCCATCTTTTACAGCATTTTCTAAAAAAAATATGTTACTTTAAATAACTCTTGTGTGTTCCTCTCTGTCAGATATTCTGTGGAGATTCTATATGGAAAACATGTGTTTATATACATAGCAAATAGCAGAGGCTCCCAAACAGGAGTCTGAGCCCCTCCATGAGGGGATGCCAGGAGATCCGCACCAAAATGGAACATTAACGACAACAACACTAATAATAATTAGACTTTTAATAGTTGAAATAATTCATTATTTAATATGACAATTGTTTTTGTATTATTCTGTAATATTGGGATCATTCTGTTTTACCCTCTTCATCTGCACTCATTACATTTTTGGTATTTAGCAGAGGCTCTTATCCAGAGTGACTTACATAGGTTACAATTCATTTATCCATTTATACAGCTGGATATTTCTGAGGAAATTATGGGTTAAGTACTTTGCCCAAGGGTACAACAGCAGGGCATTGAACTGCCAACCTTTGGTCCTGCTTCTTACTACTATTCTACACTGCCACCCCAAAAGCTTTTTGATATAGCTTGACCCCATGAGGCACAGACAGGGTTCAAACCCGTGATCTTCAGTTTACGAGACCAATGCCTTACCACTTGGCCACTGCTCCTTACACTTGTGCAGCTGTTTGATTATTCCAAAACAAATTTTTCAATTGTACCATGGTTAGTGCACTAGCATGGTACTAACACTATACAGCAACATAACATGTTTCTGGCTTGACAGCAAGTAGCTAACGTGTAAACAAGCATCATTCAAGCTAACTTATTCATTCCCCGTACTAAGTATTTTAGTCAGCAAGCATGGATCACTTTTTAAATTAGGCTCATTTCGAAGAGTCAGCTAGCACTTCAAGTCCCAGTCAAGTTCCATGGCAATCCCCAAAACCTCCAGGATGCATGAGATATCATACGCAGAGGACAGATTTTTGTCCGTGAAGAAAAAAATGGCCTTGACTACCCCAAATGTTTCAGATAAATGCCTAAAACTAGAGCCTAGTCTTTTAAAGGGCCTGGGCATGAGAACATTTGGGTACCCCTGGCTTATAGCTCTCATTTTTTAAGCCCTGTGTGATTGGCCCAAAATCTACATTTGAAATCAAAGCTTAAAATGTACTCATCCCAAATCCCATTAAAAGAGAAAATGGTCATGGTCTGCCTGTAAGCCATACATATTCACTGTGTATCTTAATAAATCATCAAATATAAAATGGCCAATTTGCACACATTTTTCAAAACTCTGTATGTTTTTAATATTCAGTTCCCCCAACTGAAGCAGAAACACTTAAAGCTACATTATGTATAATATTAGGTATAGCTAAGATGCTGTGTATAGTTAATGCCCTTTTCCTAAGATATCTGGATGCATATTAACCTTACAGTAATTCTATTTTTTTATTTATTTCAGAGGGGGTAGGTTTTGTGGGACTTGAGATGAAAGCTGCAGCTGCCCTTCAAGTTTATGTAGGATGAATAATTTAGAACTAAGAAGAAAGCGACAAACCCCCATTTCTTTTAAACCAAGTGAGTTATTTGTTGTTGTTATATGGCTGTCATGTTTGCTAATATGGTATGAAGCCTGACATGACTTCAAAAGACAGTTTGGAGGCAGCAGAGTAAAAGAATGACATATCTACAGTGAAGGATGGCTGTTTCAGTGGTCCTGTGTTCCTCTCGGAAAAGTGAATGAGAGATGTCGGATTCAGTGCTCATTACAGCATGAATGAACACCTGTGTTCTAGCCAGGACTGGTAATTGCTGTCTGCGAAAGAATTAAGAGAGGTTATTCATCTTTATGTAAAAACACAATTTATGTTCGCTCTGCAGGAACTTGTCTGTTTTTGTATTTCCTTTTCTTTTTGCTTTGTCCAAATTATGAGATTAAACATTCTTTTTCTCCTGGCTCTTTCTGTAGGTTTGTGCAGTACGTATAGAAGGATCACGATGTGATGCACTTTGTTCCTATTTCAATGTAAGGTGAAAGCTTTGAAGCTCAAACTTCCCTCTACTTTCCTCCCCCTTCCCCGGGATAATAGACTTCTCCCTTCAGCTGTAAAGGAGAATTTCCGAAGGAGCGTTCAGACAGATGGGCTCTTTTATGCCTGCTGCGGATAAATGAAATGTGATTTGAAAGGTGAGATGGACTCTTAAAAGAACAAAACTTAACATTGCTGATGGACTTGAGGCAAAAACCCAGATCAAGCTGCTCATTGTCAGGGGCTGCCCATTCATACATTATCAGCCGGCTTGTCTGAGATGAACTGAGCAGGGGTCAGTGCTGAGTGCCAGAATGGGAGGCTGCAGTGACACATACTGCATCATGGGCTCCATCACATTGCCATGGAAATCAATGTGTCCTACCTTACACCTGGTGGACGACATATCAATTACTTTCTTGGCAGATGGAGGAATCTTAATACAAAGACCCTGCTTGTTAGTAAGTCTGGAGAAGTGGGAGAGAGAAAAGGAGTGACCTATAACTCAGAGGGCATTGGATACACATTATTCATCATTGCCAGAGAGAGGGAGAAGTGGAACAAACTCATTGTAATTTGTAGGGCACCTTTAGTTGTTTCTACGTTTTCTACATTGACTATGAGAGGTGTACTGATGTTTCTTGGCCTGGCTGGCATCCCAGACAAGAAAAGCACAACTGCCTCTTGGAAGACTTGAGAAAGTTGAAAAAGTGTTCTTGGAAGACTTGTTGAGAAAGTTAAGAAACTGTTGAAACCTTCTCTGCCTTTCTCATTTTTATTGGACTTTTTAAGGTCTGAGATCCTCCTACAGAAACAAGCACCTGTTGTTGTCAGCAAGGTGTCATGACATTGGCTGAAGACAGCTGAGTGTTTGAGACTAACTTGTAAGTGTTGCTGTTGGCTGAATTTCCATGGATAGGTGTTACGAATTTCCTGGTATGGTCCAGTATAAATAACAAGCCAGAGCTGTCTTTTCTTCTCAGGATCTGAATCTTATTTTCAGTAAGAAGGACAAGAGTCTCAGACATTGTATAGAATCCTGCTCCCTTTGTCCACAAATACACACTGGGTGTGAATAGGTTCATCTACCATGTACTGGTTGACTTTTCATGTGTCTCATAGACACACACACAAAAGCTGATATTATAAATATCACTTTTCTGGTTTTCCAGCCTAGCATCTATCCAATGCACCCAAGTGTGGGATAGGCTTATGCTCCCTTTGGTTAAGTAATGTTATGCCTCTTTGTGTTGAAAGCCTGTTGAGGAATCCCTGGCAGAGCCATGCAGAGGCTCAGCACAGCTGTACACCAGCCAGCACATACAGTGCCCATTCCATTTGAATGCCTCGTCATGGGGACGGCACACGCTAAACTGTGTTGTCTTGCACTGGCCACTCTGTCTTTGAACGTTCACATGTTTTGCCCCTCACTTACCACCAGGGGGAAGCTGGATGCACAATGTTTGTTTGCCTATATTGATATCAGTTTTAAGGAGATTCCTGCTATGCGTTTAAGTAAATACGCTTTTTTGACAAAAAATGTCAATTGTTTCTTTTGGATTTCCCATGACATTACACATTACATACTTTAGACATGACTTGTGTTTAAGATTTACTTGATTAAATGGGGAAAATGAGATTTTTAAAATCCTGACCTCACCTCTCAGATTTTATATTTTCAAAATGTTTGTATTATATATAAAGTCTAAGTTATGCACTACACGATATTACTCATTCATTTACAGATGGGGGCTCTCTATTGGTCCCTCGTTGTGGAATAAACTGTGTTTATGACCATTTAACAAAGGAACTTTATGGAAGGAGAAAACGTCCAAATCTTTTCACATGTGTGCATTTCTTCCTCATTGCACAAGTATGTGTGAATTGCTCATCCACAAGAGTCAAAACAGATATCTCCAGATATTACAGAAGGTCTTGAATGAGAATCAATGGGAGTACTATTCAGAAGAGGTGCATTTTCACAGGAACTTCCAAAACAAACACAGTGATCAAAGACAGGCTATTGTAGCTATTTTACATCAAGTCAAACTGTTATGCAGGCTGCAAGCATATTACAAACATGATATTACAGACAGAATACAAATAGGAAACCATCAGTCAAATCATATAAAAGGGAGAAGGATGTTGCAGAGAGTAAAGGTTTTAATGCTTGGTTGGTTTTAAGTGTGAAAGCTCTATTTACTGTTTAGTTTGCAGGGATCTGGTAATTGCTTCCACAGGTATGCTAATTGTCTCTACAACCATTAAGACCATCCTGTGAAAGGAATATGAGGAGAAAAGGTACCATTATTTATTACTAGATTTAAGAATAAGGATAGTGTGAAATCATTAGTGTTACTGTTCTTAAAATTATCTAGCTATTCAGCACAGTGTTTTTTTGTATAGGGTTTTCAGTGTAGTGTATTTCTCAACCATCCGGCTAATTAGTGTCCAGTATGGCTCTCACAGTTTAGCTTGAAAAAAGCATGAAATGACAGCCTTTCATTCACTCAAAAACTGAGTAATCAGCTTGTATTTGAAGCTTTTGATGTGCAAAGTTAATTACCAGGTATTGCTGTTTAACCGAACAAATAAAAGTGATACAAAATGTTCATTTTCAAATGTCATTTTTAACATATGTAATCTCTTTACATGTGTGCATGTTAAATGGGAATATGTCTATTGTCTTTTCTCCTTATTTTCTCATTGTGTTTTTTTTTTTTTTGCTCCTGGAAGCACATAATTCTCCAGTGAAAAGCATCAATGCGCTGTTTGTCACATCTCAGGGTTAAGAAAAGGAGTCCTAAGTGATATTGGAGGCTCTGAAGCAGAGTGTACGGAGCCCCTCTCTTCAGTGTGTTCCACCTGCACGCTGTCCTCCTCGGCTGCTGAATTATTCATCACACGGCCCTGTTTGGTGTGAGGCAGGCTGTCTGTTTTCCTGCAGGTGTAATGAGAGGCAGCAGTGGGCTCGAAACACTGGAAAAAAAATAGCCTTCAGTGGATCCAGGCCAAAGCGCTTTCCTGCATGATGCCGCTGTGACTGTGTGGAGAGCACTGAGCTAAATATCCCAGTAATTTCACACAGAGCTTGGCTGCGACTCCCGCAGAATACATCGTTATCTGAACAGCTTACCATGCGATGGAAATAGTCTCGGTCCCATATCATAACCGGTCTGCGCTTTGTGTTGTTTGTTGCTGTTTATTCTTTCTTCCTCCGTAAGCTGCTTGTGCCAGCCAGTGGCATATGTTTATAAGAATATGTGTGTGTGAACCTGCAAGCGTTGGGTCACTGAAATGGTTAACGTGCATAGTATAATGTAAGGATGGGGGCTTCGCCAGTGATATTTTTATGGTTTATGGCAGTACTGTCAGATCGATGAGAGGGACTCGGGGAGACTCAAGTGGGAAGAGTCTGGGAGCCAAACAAAAGGAGCCAGGGGATCAGCCCTGTTGTCATCACCCTGCTACTCATAGTTTTTAAACCAGAGAGAATGTATAAGATGCAAAGTGACACACACTATGTAGCACATTTATGTAACAGACAACTCTGCCTTCCCTATCTCTCTGGCATCGTGTTTCCTCCATCCGCGACTGCCTGTCTTCTGAGAATTTTATCATAAAGGCGTGACACT